ACATACAAATTATAAAAAAAAAATTTGAATCTAGCTTTATTATTAACAATTGTCGTGAATATGATGAAAATCAATCATCAAATAATATTATAATTAGAGATAACCGAGAAGCCATAACAGGTCGTCCTTCTCATACGCCATCACCTATGGTCTCTATCGATGGAAAAATAGTTCCCTAACAAACTCTCCATTATGTAGAAAAAACCTAGCTCCCCTACTTTTGTTACAATTTCATCTTTGATAAATTTATAACATGATTATTATTTTCTTACAATATAAAGTGACTATTCCATGTTGTTAATTTAATTGGTATTCAAACAAACATTTGTCAAGGCAATTAGAGTATACTTATAATTAGCAATGTTAAGAAACAATATTGAGATTCCTAATCAATATGCAATATGATCATGGAAATTTTGTAAAAATATTGTTAAACTAAATCTCCAAACAAAATACTAAAGGTTATTAAATGAAAAATGACACCATAACTAGATAAATTTTTCAATAAATTTAATCTGAAACTACAAATCTTGTAAGTGCAACAACTACTAACATAGTTAAGCATAATTAAGCCTAAGCCCATTTGGCAAAAAGAGACATACAACCAGCTCCTAATAAAAGAGAAAGATGACAACTTAATAGAAGTTTACAACTCTTTTGAATTCTTTCACTCATAAAGTCTGCAGCTAAAAGATTTACAAGGGCGATGTAGATCAAGATTCCAGACGACGTTGCATTCAAGATTCCTTCAACAATAAGAGCTGTTGGACTATTTTCATCATAAGTATTACTGATAAATACACCAATTCCAATTCCAACTGGTGTAGTTAAGTAAAAGAACATTCTCATATTGCCCTGCGCCTGCGAAAATAGCAGTTTTCAATAGTAAAAAAAAATAAAAATAGAATAGGTCTTCTAATTATCAATATATATATATATATATATATATATATATATATATATATATATATATATATATATATATATATATATATATATATATATATATATATATATATATATATATATATATATATATATATATATATATATATATATATATATATATATATAATGAATAATCAAAGACTTAACGTTCCTCACACAACGGACTCCTTTCAACTTGGACCAAACTAGAGTCCAGACACCAAAATCACACCAACACACCAAAAATTTAAGGAAACATTAACATAGCATTGTATGAAAACAAGGAAGTCAGACCTAAGGTTCGATCCTCTATTGATTCAGACACGAGATATGAATTTGAAACTAATCGGAGAATGAGAGAAAGTTCAAATGTGACTTGTTAAGAAACTAACTCTACGCTAAAGAAATATTTTTATTCTCTCCACCTCTTTCATATTTGTTGATAATTGATAAAAAAAAAAAAACTTATCATGACAAATATATCCGATAATTCACACCATAGCATGTAAGATCATGATATACTTATTCTTAGTTTTAAGGTTAGATCTTCTTGAAAGAAAACACTAAAAAATAAACCTACGATCAAAATAGTCATCTCCACTTCTAACCACCTAAAAATCATATATTAGACACTAAAAATCAAACTACATGTCAAAAAAAGATGTGTGATAGGCTAAACATGATGCTCGCAAAGGGTACACAAGGTCTCCTCATGAACAATAATGACCTTCCGCATGAATAGGTTTTCCTTCAATGAAAATCTATTTTGCAAAAATTGTCAAGAAAAAACCACCATCTTATAGGAACAACTTTCTCGGATTGTACAAATACATATTATTGCTTATTTAGCAATGAAAATTATTTTTTTTTTATCAAATAATCTAAGTTGAAATTCACCTTTTTAAAAATGAATAAGTGGAATGTCGCAGATTCGAACATTTATTCTTAAACAATTATTAATTGAATTGGCTTAAAAAAGGACTTCATCCAAAAATAAAATAGATAAATTGTCATGACTACTACCAAATAACTAATACCATTACACTTATTATATGAACTATTATATTCAAAACAAATTATCTTTTTTTAGTTACATAGTTATTTATGATATAAAAGTACCTGATCTATACAACTTGCAACTCCCAAGCCTTCAAAAAATTGATGAAAACACAAGGCAGCCATCAATGGCTTTGTTGTGTTAGGACTCTCCGAAGCACCTAGAGAAATTGCTATTATAATAGAGTGAAAGATAATGCAGAACTCCAACCCCTATCATCATAAAATGAAAAACATCAATTACAATTTATCCACGATTTTCTTATTGATCAAGGATTTGCATGTATTAGTTATACGTATTATATCATTAAACATTGAATCTATTAGGTGTGTAGGTGTGTCTGGATACATCAAGATATTAAACATTTTATATAATTAATTACCGGTGACATCATCTTTTGACGAATAAATTGATAGGACTTATCAACAAAAGGAACATAGCTTTCTAGTACTTCCTTCTCCACATCTGTATTACTATTGACATCAACATGTGCTTCTTTAGAGGTTAGTTTCATAAAAAAAATATTAGCATAGGTTTCTACCATAAGAATAGCCATGGCAGAACACAAAGCTAGAAAACACGTGAATGGAAAATCACCCCAAGGATGATCATTCAAACAAGGTGATTTTAAACTTTCAAATGCATCTGGCAACACATGAATGAAACTGGCTGACAATATCACACCAGCTGCAAAAGCTTTAATAATAAAAAATATGTTTTTGTCGAGACTTAATGCGGGTATCACTTTGCCCAAAAATGGAATACTAGCACCAAATGCCCCTGCAATAAGTATCGATAGGAATGCTATTGCTCTGTATCCATATGCTTTGCTTATATTACTTTGTTTATCTTGGTCACAAGTGCATTCGGATAAAACAAAGGTGGGAAGAACAAGAATTAAGATCAACAAATGTAATAAGAATTGGTGGTGACTATTTTTTTTAAATCCAAACTCCATTAATGTAAATTTGATTCAAGAGGTGGAGAGTAGGGTGTAGTGATATGTGAGAAGTCCATTAATATATAGAATGGGTTATTTAAGGGCGATCTCCAATATTCTAGGATGTGGTAAATGGAAGAAGTAAGTGAAATAGTTGTTAATAAAACGTGTCAATTAAACAAGTGTAAAGGAAAATATTGTTGATACATTCAAGTTTTCTTGAGATAAGTACGGCTCTTATTTAGCTTGTTTGTGGAGAAACTTGATATAAGTATAGTTTGTTTAGAGCACGTGTTTATTTTTGTATTTGCAACCGCATCTCGCACAAATCACAATTTTTACTTTTCTTATATATTTACAATTTTTAACCTAAAAATATTATAAAATATTTTATTGTGCACACGCAAGATATTATAAAATACCATTTTTTTTTATAATTTTGATTTAAGTTAAATTATTTGTTGAGTTAAACTGATATGTAGTATAATATATGTATTTTGCATTCTATTTTATTTTTAATCTCCCACTCTCTTCTTATCTCACTCAATTTCTCTTTCTCTCATTATTTTCTATCGTTATATTTTGAATTAAATTTTTGTGTGATATTGTCTGTGGTTCATTAAATTCAAAATATTATGTGCACAAAACAGTTGTATTTATACTCCAATAACAGCTTCTAAATCGCATGTTGTTCATGGTTTAATCTCTATAACCATTTAGAAAGAAGAGCACTGTTAAAGATGTTAATAAATGCGTGGTTGATTTTCAAAGGCAAGAATCAAAGTGTCACTCTTAAGTTAACTCTTGGAAACAAATCTTTGAAATAAAAAGCGATAAATAAATCGTGTGGAAATTAAACAAATTAAAGCAAGATGGAAAGTAAATAATAAAAGTGCGAGTAAAATAAAACCTGCTCCAAATCGGAGACTTGAATCTGGTACAATGTTGGAAAGTAAATCTAACTTGAAAGTAAAATGACGGCAAACTTAAAGTTCATATGCTACGATGCTCCAACCTTAGTTACAACAATGGTGTGATAACCCTTCGATGTGACGGTTTATCGCTTTAACGACTGAATATATGCCTATGCTGAGAACTAAGATTGGATGTTCAAAGTGTGAAAACTAAGTCTTATTTATACTAGTAAGATGCCTTGGAAGCCAAGTAGAAGCTTCAAAATTCGTGAGAGAGAAAAATGGTAGTCATGGACTTCATTCTTCAACTACCTTTGACTGGACCACCAAAATCAAAGATGGTGCCCGCTATCTAGACATGGTGCCCACCATGTGTATAAGAGGTGGTGGACATGGTCTTGTAACTATTGAGTCGTGAGAGAAAGGGTCCAGCTCATGGCTACCTCCATGGCCAACGACATGTGGGATGCCATGTGCACAATTCACACCATAATCTTTGTTTTTCATTTGTTTTGCTTTGTTTCTTCGTGAACGACTATCATTTGGCTACTTACCTGAAAACAAACATAATACGACATAATACTACAAAAACATAATAAAAAGACACTAAATAACATGTGAATCAGGTCGAAATATACGATATGTTTTCATGTTATCACAAGTCTAAAATGCCATCATGACAAAGGCATGGGGAGACATTGATCTATCAGAAATAGCACCGGAGGACAAGAAATAATTGAGCTCGAAGAGGCTGAGGAGTCTGAGGAGGCAGAGGAGATGTAGTCTGACATACACAGTAGTGCAATAGTATATAATAGTTGTACTTTGGATTCATTATGCATTGTATTTTATTTGCAGTTCTTGCTACTTTGTCGTGTATTTCGACTTTTGCTGCCTCGAATTTTGCTTTGGATTGTATTTCATGTCTTGCGTTTGAAGAATGGTGGATTTTCAAGAGTTGGCTTTGCTGAAATTCATCTTGTGTACGTCTTGCTGCACAAGGTCAAAATCAGCTAGCCACATTACTTTGTTGGTCGTATGTTCTCTGTCTGATCTTGTAAAAAGGTGCTTCTTTATGTTATCCATCCATGATTGCTAAAATTTTAAAGCATTTCAAAATATGTATGAAAAATCACATCTAAAAATCACTAAGTACCTCTCAAGAGTTCTCACAATGGACTCTCACAAACATGAGCTATTTTTGGGATATTGAGCACCGAGCATACTTTCTCCGTAGGAATGGTAGGAAGATTTTTAATTTCGATGATCCAAATGTGGTTGTTGACGAGGCTGAAGAAAATTAGATGGGGAATGAGCAGCCTGATGAGATTCCTCATGATGCTCCAATTGGTAATGAAACCATGCAGGATGCGACAGATCAAGGAGTTGGTCATGGTAGTGGTCCTTATGTTGGTCCTAGCGACACTGCTACTATCATTACCATGCTACAAAATATGCAGGTACATCGAGATGAGAGATATGGTGCATAGTCGGAGCAGTTCCATCTAATGCAGGAGCACATGGCTACTCAGGATGCAAGATTCCACTCCTTTGCTTCCTATACAATGAAAAGCCTCGTGAATTTGTGTAACACTATCGATGAGAATCACACTGATGAGATGGAACGGTTGAGTCACATTGTTCACACCCAGAAAATGGATGAAGATCATTATGATAGTTTTTACCGCGACCTATGTAAGATTGGTACATTGAATGCAAGACCAAGGCCAATAGGACGTGGAAGGCCTTAACTGTATTTTATGATGTGGTGTTATTTGGTGTCTCCTTTTTTGGTTGTGTTCATTTTCTATCATCTATTTCATTTCTTAATTATGGTTGTTTTCTTGCTACTTATTGATGGATAGAACAATTTTTTTAAGCATCTCTTTTTGTTGTACTAAGTATTGACTTGTGTATTTCTTATGGATATTGTTGTTTAATTATTATGCTTGTGCTATTTACACATGTGTTGTATGTAAATGCAACTCTTTATCTTTGCAATTGCCTCTATGTAATATTTGAAATATGTGAGTTGTGTATCTACGTGATGCTTCTAACGGTTTATCTTTCTTTTTGATGTTGCCAAAGGGGGAGAATAATGAAGAGGATTATGCATGATATTATGCCTACACTTAGGGGGAGCTATCAAGAACAATGCATAAAGTTAGGGGGAGTTGTTATATGTAACCAAGAGAAGCGCAAAAACCTACGACTACATCATATACAGTTGTCATCATCAAAAAGGGGGAGTATATGAGTGCTAACTATAAATTCAATCGAGTTTTGAATGATGTCAAACAAGGAAGGTAGTATATCATAGAGCTTCTATATATTGGACAATATCAACCTACTTTTAGATGCTCATTTGTCCCCTTAGCCTTAGGATGCATAAAAAGAGTGTCTAAACAAGTTTTACAAGTCTTAGGCAGGTCATACACATCAAAAAATCAAGTTTGTGTGTCAAAACAACTACATAGGCCGACCTATACGTGATCAGGTCAACCTAATGAAGTCTCAGCTTCAGTATAGGCCAACACATCCACATTTTAGGTTAGCTCCTACGCTCCAAGAATGAAGCTTGTAGGCTCTGCCCACATGTCACCTCACAGGCCGGCCTGAACACCTTCATAAGTCAACCTATTCAATTTAAAACTTGAAAATTTCTTTTTGCATCTTCTTTTTCTTGCATCCTTTTGCCCATTTTCTTCACATACTTATATATACTCATACATGCATCTTCTTCTAGGTAAGGTTTCCTAGTGAATAAAACATAAACGAAACCATATTACAAAGTTGTCCATCATCTTCATCCCTTCTACTATGCATACACACAATTGAGCTACACATAATCATTTTTTAATTTGGTGACCATCTAGGTTAGGGTTGATAACGTCTCATTAGGTTTGGTGTAACCGAGAATATTGGGTTGGGAACTTTGTGTGTTTCAAATAAGAAAACCAAGGTGGAGTTTTCCTTCAAGATTAGGTTGATTTTAAGGTTTTAGATAAGATCACTTCAACAAATATTCGATGGAGTAAAAGCCTTGGGACAATGTGGTTTCGTTGCAAGGGAATAGTGCGAGACAGTGAATTGTGTTTGGGAATCTTGGGTTTCAACAAGTTGTGTGCTCAGGATAATCAGAGGATGTAGCCGCATTGTTGATCACTTGATCAAGGGTTGGGGGTGGAAGAATCAACACAAAACAATAGGGTTTTTGGGGTTTTCATTCTTCATCTCTTGTACAAATGATTTTACAAAGAAAATATTAATATCAATATCTCAACTCGATTTTGAATTGAGGGTAGACGTACCCATAGCGAGGCCGATTGGATAACTCCCTAAACAAATCTCAGTCTCTCTCTCTCTCCCCCTCTCTCTCTCTCTCTCTATCTATCTATCTATCTATCTATCTATCTATCTATCTATTTATCTCTTTATCTCTTTTATTGTTGATTTCGCAATTTATCGAGTTCATCGTTGTTTGATCAATTCGATTGGAAATTGTTTTCTACTATCTTTTAAAGGTGTTTTTGTTGATATAATCACAATTACTTTGATTGTCATTGGTTTTTAACATCAACAAAATAAATTATATTTCCAATCGCTATCAATTGCGCACCAAGTGTTCAATAAATTGTTTGTGCATATTTTGATTGTGTTTTGGTTCATTGGATATACGAGTTACAATTATCATTGCATTTAATTGATTCGTAGCTTGATTATTATTGAACATGTATGTTCATTATCACTCTGTTTGGTTTGCGATACATATTTTTCTTTTCGATAGTAGGTTCGGTTAGATGATTTGATTCGGGTCGTTTTTCTGCTGCAACATATTTTGAAAACAGATTTTTGCCAAAAGTTTTTTATTGTAAAATTTGTGATCTATTCACCCCCTTTAGATTGAAGCCTATCTTCTAACATATGTAATCACTACTTCCAACACAAGATGGTCAATCTTCTGATAACACAATTTCACTCTTCTTAGCACCATACTGACAAAATATAATGGTTTCTCTCCTTCCTCTGTTTCGTAGACTAATATGAATCTCATAGCGTTGTCTAAAACGACTAGGTACAAGATGAGACTCTGGTTCTTCTTCA